GGAGACAGTATAGTACCCGACTCTCTGCAACCAATGAAATATCCCAATGATAAAACATAACTTCTTGAATTGTACGGGCGCGGCCATGTTGATTTGCTTGTTTGCCCCTAGAGAGCAGTAGTACCGTAGATCGTCACTGTCTGTGTCCAAATTTTGCACAGATCGGTTTTGAGAGGGAAGTGTAAATGGGGCTATAAAACTTTTGTCATTTTGCACACAGAGTTAGCCTCGTGAGACCATCCTGATCTCGCAAGATTTCACTCGCAGATCAGTCTGGAGACTCTCCGTTGAAGAAAATTTGGAGCCGTTCACCAAACGAACGTCCAATCAGCGTTGGCTTTGAGGCGGGTTGAGGTGTGACGCAACGAGAAGCGCGACAGTTCAGTCTAAAGAACATGGTGGCTTCAGCCGATGAAACTAGCGTTAGCGTGGCTATCGGGCAAGTTTTATCGGAATTACAGAGTATTTCTTCACTGAAAGAAGAGCAAAACACTGCTCTGGAGGCTTTTCTCAGAGGAAAAGATGTTTTTGCTCTTCTCCCGACTGGTTTCGCAAGAGTAGCCTGGCTTGTGGTTGTGTTTTCGTCGTCGCTCTGTTAGTACGTCATATGCTTGTTGATCTGATTGGTTTATTTGGCCCGTCTATCACCAACATAGGCCAATCAGCTAACCAGTATTTTCGCCCCTTCCCAAAATTACTTCAACTGAAGATTTCCAGATGGATATGCGGAGCAAATCCATCTGGCGGAGTCAGGTTAACACAGAGCTGTACAAAACAAAATTTTGTTTTGTACAGCTCTTACATTTCCAGCACTGATCAAATGTAAAGTGTGGGAGAAAAAAAAAACAAGGTGCAAAAAAAATGTGCTGATATGGGAAATTCAGAGCATTAAATATATATGGTGCAACTATGCAGTGCATTGTCAAGCATGTCTTTGTTACCGCTATGCCGTAACTGATGCAGTTCAAACCTGAACATGACTTGTGTTTTAGTCAAACTATTTTCATTTGTGTTTTCAGGAACTTGAAGGTTTTAGCTTTCAAATGATATATCACATGTGTAATTTAGGCTTATAGTTCCTTAGTTATTTGCTTTTCCATTTGGGTATGCAAAAAGATGAGGATTACTTAAAATTAGGTGGAAGCTATTAAAGGGTATGTATACTTTTTCAAGGAACCGACCTCAAAGTTTGCAGGATTATTAAAACAATTTTAAAAAAGCAAGAGTGCAGGCAGTGATATAAACAACATTTTTATTTTCATGATGTAAATTATATTGCCTTTGAAATTTGCTTCAGTTGTACTTGCAGCTACACGCCAACTAAAACATTGATCACTGATGTGAACTAGTTCAAACCAGTTCTGCCACTGCCGTCTTTGACAAAAATACCACACTTCACAAAAACGGTGAACAAGTGATGAGCTTTAAAACAATGCAAATATCACATTCAGTATAAAATATAGAGCAACATATACAGGTTTATCAAATTTATCACATTTTATTTCCTCGACTTTGCTTAATATGTGTGTAAAGAGCTTTTTCCACACTATGAACGTCTTTCAAGTCGAGACCCAAAACAGAACATGAGGCACAGTTTGCAAAGACAAGGCAATAGACGTCCAACATATGGAAGCATACAGACCTCTTTGGGCCATAGTCTTGGCATTTTGTGAAGCTGCTCTCTAAGAACGGACGTCCTTAGCATTGCTTGTTATTAACTGTGATTTACAGCCTTGGCCTCAAAATAAGGAGACAATATGTGCATTTATTACTAGAAAAGTGAACAACATGATTATTTATCTGATGGTCAGCATGGAACAACATTTAAACGCCCCAACAGTAACTGTAACCGAAGCATCTATCAGAGAAAAACGAAGGCCATGATAATAACAGAAAGGCCTAAAAAACATCTTTATGTCAATGATCAACATCATACCTTGATCAGGAAGTGCAAAACATTTTTAATTTCATCCCTTTAAGTTACTTTCAAGTGTTTCTAAATGGATTAGGGACATAAAATCGCATCGTTTATGACCGAGATAATCCACCGATTTACAAGACGTAACCACAACCTTCGGTGGGGAAGCCGTTACTGAAGGAAAACTCAACGTTGGCTGTTTCTAGCATCAGTGAGCTGCTTAATAAGGTTAGAGCGTTAGAAGCTCGCAGGAAGGAAACAGAGATGTGTCGTTTACTACTTTAAGATGAGGAGGAACCGGAAAGCAGAACAGATTTCCAGAAAACTCCAGGGAATATACACACGCTGCTGTTTATAGCTGTAAATGCTAGCCACTCTAATAAAAGATAATCAAAAAATTGGGAAGAAAGGTTGATTCAGTAGTTATGCTTTACAGCTATTGCATGATTTCTCTCACAATGTATTTTCCCACATACAGTGTGATGCCCTCGCTCACAGCAGATAGATTGAAAAAAAACCCCCAAAAAAAACAACAAAAATGACATTGTCAGGGTTGACGTTTGTAGAATCAACAGAAGAACCTGCGCCATAAATGTACTCTAATTCATGACACGAAAAGCAGGATAGTGCCATTGGGTTCATTTGGTTACTAAAAATGTTTATTCACATTTTCTGGTGCATATTTTTGTACCAGAATTTAAATCAGGGAGACCCCAATTATCAGTACCCATGTTTTTGCAAATCTTCAGCAAATTTTTTTAAAAGTCAAAAGGAGAAAATGCTAATTAGATGCATTTCCATCATCAGTTTACGTTACGCTTGGCTATGGTAAACATGAAATAGAGTTAGCAAGCTAGCACAGACCACAGATCAGTGATAGACTGATGTTTTAAGGAATGTTAGAATAAGGCAAGTTGTAAGTTACTTTATCACGTCAGCTAATATTAGCCACAGTTCATGGGAGACATCGAGAGAGAAGTTTTATTCTAATGCTGCATTCAGAACGCCATCAGCAGCAGAAACATTTGATCAGTCCTGTGGGGGAAATATTCGCTACATCAGAACTGATATGAAAAAGAGTTCCTATCGCCTCTTTAGTGAGTTTGGCCACCTCAGCTGGGCTTTAAAACTTCACTGCAAAATTCACAGAAAAAAAGATGATGGAAACGAATCCATTCACTCTGCAGAAAGAATAGTTTGCTGCAAGTTTTTCCCTGTTCAGGAACTGTACACTTCCAGGACTCTGGGGCAAGCAGGAAATGAACCCTTGCACTTGACTCCTCCTCTCTGTTTGGAAACAATCTGTTTTAGATTTTCCCCTTTAGCAGCAAGAAGTTGTGGTCAATCAGGACCAAAACTTTTCACTAGAGAAAACAGCTTCTTCCCGTCTGCTACTAGCCTCCTTAACAAGGCCTGGGCCCCCCACCACTGACACTTTCCGCTCGCTAGGATTATGAATACCTCACTGTGTGTAGCAAGTATACTTTGTTTAATTGATGCTTCAAGCATAGAACCTTTTTTGTAAATGCTCATTCGTTTAAAAAAACTTAAAAAATTACACTGCGAAAAACATTTTCGAAAAAAATGGTTTTAGGAGTAACTTGGCTGTTTTCTCAGATTTTATTTTAAATGCATTTATTTTATTTTTGACAATTTTATTATTTACATTTCCTCTTTTAAAATTTAGTTTTATAAAATCATTACTTTTCAAATTCTGATCCTATTCTCTTCAATTTAAGCCCAATGGATGGAGAAAATGTTGCCATCAACCACGCAGGCCGATAGATGCAACTTTGCTTTTCACTCCAGATAAAATCCCGCCCCCAATAAAAGGAGAAATTAAAATAAAATTTGTATATATCAAACAAGCAAGGTTAATCTAAAACAGTTTTTTTTTTATAAAAACATTTTTCAAAAACGTATTCTTTGTTTGCAACAATAACGGAAGAACTTCACTTCATACAAGAGAAAATACAATTTCATTTAATCTCATACTGTTACTATTTTGAATATTTGCCATGCAGCTCTTCCTCTGCTAAAAGTATGCTATTATTCTCTATTCTCATAACATTTCCGTATTCCTCTCTGAACTTATCTGGATCAGAGGGTTCAGGTCAGAAGAGACAGATTTTATTTTAATCTTCATCTGGATTTGGTGTAAAAGGAAGAAGGATTATGGAAAAGCAACTTCTGCGCACTAGTAAATATGGAAGCGGATCTGTGAAGCTGTTGGTGCTTTTCTCTTCTAAAATATCTACAGAATGAGAAGCTGGCATCATTAAGTATTTAAATAAAACATATTTTAAAGTATGATCTTGTTGAGGGGGCTAATAAACTAAAAATGGATCATAAAAGAGTCTCGGACAGGATCATGATCCAAAATGTCAGAAGTCAAAATGCTCCTTTTGGTGAAAAAATGTTCAATGTTCTATTATTTCTTTTCAGGTCTGCTGAAAATTAAAGCAGGAATTTTTCAATACTTTATTAATTTTAAGTTTGTTTTAGACACCAGTGGTCTTAAAAAAACAACAGTGTGGATAAAATGAGTAGAAATCCTGCCAGTTTTTATCTTTAACAGACAAACCGGTTGTTTCTGCTTTCTTTCTAACGGCATCATGTCTGGTGTTTGCTACTAATCGGTTTCTTCTACAAAGGACTGCTACGATAGAGAAAAAATAAAGCACTCTGATTAAATTATGCTACTTAGACTGAAGTGGATGATTTTACTTTCAGCGTGTGACTTTTTGGAAAAAAAAAACTACAGCTCTCATTACAGCAAGAAATTTAGTTCTGGAAGAGTTCGGAAAAGTGCAAAAGTAGGAATACTGAGTGAGGTGAAGGCAAAGGACAGGAAAGAAATAGCAGATAATCACTTTTATCATCCATCCGTCCGTCACACTCGCCTCTCTTATTCTGGGTTTTATAATACAAGCTAAATAGGATGGATCCAGCATCTGTCTGACTGAATCCCAAACTGTGAGGGAAAACTGGACAGAAAAAAAATGGGCACTACTTTCCCATTTCAGGAGAAAACCCGATTTATAACCAGGCGTTTTTTTTTTATAGCGATGAGCCAACAGTCCTGTTTCCTCTACTAAATAAATAAGCACCAACAAGAGGAAATGCACACAAACTCTGAACACACCAAAACAGGACCAGACTGTTAAAAACCTTTTGGTTTCCTCTCCAATCCAACCCATTTTACACACAACACTGGTACAGTCTAAAGCCTTTTGGTTTCATCAAAAAAACCTCTATTTTTTTAGTTGGTATGCAATTTGTACCGTAACCGGTAGCCAGCTGAGAGACTGAGCTCGACATGTTGAGAACAGAGCTGTAGTGTCGACCTGAAGAGTTTCTGTCAGCTTTCCTCAGGCTGTTGCTAAAAGTTCCTGTGGTTGCTGTAGGAGACGGAGAGCGGCGGCGCGCTGGGGACGGCGGCGCTGGTCGGGGAGCAGATCTCCGGCGGGTACGGCTTCAGGCCTCCCTGGTTGTTGTCCACCAGTTTGCGCACGACGATCCGGCAGAAGTCCTCGTCGTGTTTGTGACAGTTGTCCAGCAGCTGGCGGACCTTGGCGGTGCGCGTGGGCTGGTTGACCACCAGCTCGTAATCTTCTCGCATCAGCATGGAGCGGGCGAGCAACGCGTCCAGACTCTGGTTCAGGCAGGCCTCTGTCATTTGGAGGACGATGTCCTCTCGCCGCATCTCTATCCAGCGAGCGACGGGGCCTTGGGACGTGGCGGGGAGGTGCAGAGGAGGCGAGTGATCAGCTGCAAATTAAAACAGATAAATATGCTGATGAAGATTCTCAGTCATCCGGGTCATAGTCATTCCGTAAAAGTTCAAAAAAAATTTCACGGGACTTGGTTTCCAAGATTTGAAGACGTTTCGCCGCCTCTTTTTCTTGAATTAAGAAAGCTTCCTGGAGAGGTGGCGAAACGTCTTTTTTGAACTTTTACGGAAAACCAGATAAACACGACATGTAGCTTTATTCTCTCGCATTTGGCGGCCATCGTCTGACCGACTGTACCTTTCAGGTTGAGGTTCTCCATCGATGATTCAGCCTCGGCGGTAGGCATGGCAGACGCGATGGGAATGTTTAGATCATTCATAAGTTTGTTGGGCTGGAAGCAGCTGACCTCAGAGGGATCCTTCAAAGACTGTGGATGCTCCAGATTGGGAACAATGAAGGAGGAGGGAAGGCTTTCTACCAAAACAAGAAAATAAACTCAGAACCCATCGTCAAACTGAGGATAGGACGAGCTTGCATTCTGGATGCTACAAGACCTAGACCTCCATTATTTGAATGTCAGCAGACAGCAAGAAGCCTCCCAGATCTCCAGATGCATTTGAGATATCAAAAAAGTACTCCAGAGTGTTGTTCAGCATGGGGGTGAGTAGAAAATGAAGGCTAATCATGTTTTGGGTGTACTATTCCTTTAATCCCGGTGCTTTCCACCGACCCCTACCCTTCCTCATTTTTTAGGAGTGGACAGAGTAGTTAATTTAATTGCTAAAGAGATGCTACCATTTAATATTGTTGAAAACAAGTACTTTACTCTGCTACGTTGGATATGTGGTCAAGTTAAAGTTTTTTTTTTTTTATTAAAGCTACAGTGTGTAATTTTCAGCGACATCTAACGTCCAGACTGCGGACCGCAGCAACATGAACATCTCCCCCCCACCGCTTCTCCCCCCCAACAGTACGGCAAGCGTTACGGGACAAAATGTCTTCCACGACGTCCGCATCACCTACCTTCTCAAGTGATGAGGTTTGTTTACATAGATAATTTTAATACTGCCATCTATTGTTCAGTACCGTCTCAGTTCATCTCTCTCAACTTGCCGTAGTTACTTTCGAGCGTAATGGGCGATCTCGCAATCGCTAGTTTGTTGGCTCTGCGCTGCCGTAGCGCAAAGATGTCTGCCTCCATGGCTGCGAGACCCGCTCCTATGTAATTATAAATAATGAATTCTAAGGCAACGCAAATATTAAGGTTAAGAGGCTGAGCTCGTAGATGATGATAAATAACATAGTTATGTATAATATATTACATTTCTGACTGTATATCCCTGTAATTATTACACACTGTAGCTTTAAATGGCAGTTTTGCCATCTTTTTTAAAATCTAATGATATACAGACTTTATTATCTGTACTGTTTTGGTTGAATGTATTTTTATTTCCACTATGGTTTTATCTTGTTAGTTTTTATTCAAGTGTATTTTTAGTTAACAGAGACTGAGAGTCCATTTGATTTTTATTTCTCGTTTTATTTTGTTAACCAGTTCCAATGTTAAGTGTTCTGTTGAAAATAAAGTGTTTATCTTTGGTAGGAAATCGCATGTATTATTACGTCATTTCCATTAAATCAGTGTAAAAAGGTCTTTAAACAATATTATCGTTTATCGCAATAATTTTCTAAACAATTAATCGTTCAGGAAAATTTGTTATCGTGACGGGCCTAACTGGGACGGAACTCAATGGGAAAGTAAATAATTCTCATTTCAGCCGTTGCGTTTATTAGCTGTGACAAATGAATGAAGATGCTATGACCGAAAAAAGTTGATTGACAGATGGACGTTGATATATGATTGGCTGAATTTAGGTGTTCAGGCTGACGTAGAACTAACTGGCCTGCAGAAGATAATGAAAAAACAAAACAAAAAAACACTGATTTTAAGATGGGATTTTTTTTTAAAATAGAAATTTTCAAAATTTCTGATAAAGAGCACATTTATATAGATATTTAACCCAGAATGATTTGACATTTAAAAATGATTTCCCTACGACTTTAAATCGAGCTTTATGTGACTGATCAACGCAAAGAAGCAAAAAAGTCGTCAAACAGATGCTTTATGCGTTTATAATTAACACTTTTCTTCCAAGAAGCGGCTTTCAGGGTAGATGCAACTGAAGACGCCGCTTGTTCAACGTCAAACAGCATAATTTAGTCAGACTGGATAGAGAGCATTAGCTTCCCCACTAGCTGAAGGTCTAGACTTTGACTAGGCCAATTAAACAGATGAACATCCTTTAGAAATGTTCAGTTGCTTCAGTGTTTCTGCATTACTTTGTGTTGCGTCAGTCACATAACGACATTTCTGCATCACATAAGTGATGTAGGTTTTTTCAACAGTGATGGCAGATCAGGAAAGAGATCGTTACGTTTAGAGGAAGCAGCATGAGTGCTGATGAGGGCGCCTGGCAGGGAGATGTTTTCCTCCTGAGGGGAATAAGATCCTGAGCAGGAAGCTGACGAGGTGCACTGCTGAGAGAGAACAACACATGGGAGTCAATATATAAAGCAGAGGGAGAGGAGAGCATCACTCTAACCTTTCAGGCTACTTTCTATTTATAGACAGACACTTTTTTCCACCAACAAATTAAAGGTTTCCTTGTCCAAATGCTTTTAAGCCTTTAAAGAAAGTTTATATTGTGGGAAAAATCTACTTTTATACCCAGGGTTCCTAGAGCATAAAGCAAGTTAAATTCAAGACTTTTTAAGACTTTTAATGCCA